AACACCATACCAGCCTGCGAAACGCCTTTTTTTCGATGAAAAGATACCAACTTAGTTACTTTTAATACATCTCTTCGATAAGTTTGATAGGTAGCAGTCACTCTGTTATTCGTGAGTACCTGCCTTATCGTCGGTTGCTATAGTCTGGTGTTGCATATAGTAATTAAAAAGGCACCAACAGTTAATTTATTTTTCATCAGTACTATTGTTTATTTCTGGAAAAACAATTACATATATATGTTTGAAACTGACATAAAGTATTAGTGGTAAGAAGAAACGTAACTATGTTTGTGTATTTAGTATAGCGTGTATTGAAATTATGGACAATTTTGTTTTCAATTCTGAAGTTAATAATATCATATTTGGGTATTCTATAAATAATTCGTTTTTGTCATATAATTAAACTGGTTTAAATTCAAACCAAAACAACATAATATTTCACTTGGAACAAACTTTCTTGGGCCATGAAAGTTATTCTCAGCCACCAAAGGAATTTTTATGACATGTTGCCTCTTACTTATGTTATAAAATAGCCTTTAACTTGTAAAAACTTTGCTTTTTTTGAATAAATATAGTAGCCAAGAAGACATAACACGGTATTAGTAACGTTTTTATAATATATAATATTACATAAAAAAAAGAAATTATTTGGATGTGTGACATTTCAATATTCATCTGGACACGAACTACGTTTAGAGTTAATAATTTCATTTATGTCGAGAACAACGTGTAATATTTATGTTATCTAGTGAAATCAGATTAACTGATCTTTTCTAGCCATCACAAGCCTCTGGTTAACGTTACAGCAGCTAAGGACAACCTCGATTATGGAACACAAACTAATTTTATTATAACCGAAGGAGACAAGCCATCCAACCCAAACTTTGAAAATTTTAAGAAGAACAATAGGACTGGTTCTCTGTGATTTGGAGATCGAAACTAAACTTGACGGAAAAGTTGCTTGATTGTCAGAAAAGTAATGATCAAGGATTCTGAAGCCAGAGGTCTCTGTTAATAGAATAAGGAATATTAAATTCAGATATTGATATCCCCAACATGAAGTAGATATTTTATAATGATGAGAATAATCAATTAATTATGCTAAAGATATAATAATCTATTTGTTTATTTGACATTCAACACTTACGTATGTGAGCCATGTGTGTATCTTATATTTAAATCTGTGACTTTTATCTTATTGTGACTATTAGTGCTATAACGCTGCAACAATGCCTAAGACACGTGCTTTATGTATAGAAAAACAATTAAATGATCTGATTATTTTGTAATGTGATTTTGAATATAAACATCTAATAATAAAGCTATCATGAAAGTGTGCTTATATAAGTTCCTGTGCACTTATGTACGACGGATATCTAACGTTTTTGTGTACAAGTTCCTGTACTCTTATGTACAACGGATGTCTAACGTTTTTGTGTACAAGTTCCTGTACACTTGTATACGACGGATATCTAACGTTTTTGTGTACAAGTTCCTGTGCAGTTATGTACGACGGATATCTAACGTTTTTGTGTACAAGTTCCTGTACACTTGTATACGACGGATATCTAACGTTTTTGTGTACAAGTTCCTGTGCAGTTATGTACGACGGATATCTAACGTTTTTGTGTACAAGTTCCTGTGCAGTTATGTACGACGGATATTTAACGTTTTTGTGTACAAGTTCCTGTACACTTATATACGACGGATATCTAACGTTTTTGTGTTTTTTTGCCATAAAAAATGTTTGCTTGACAATTCATTGATGAAATAAAATTTGTGCTAATTTTCGAAATTATTGTTATACGTTATTGGGTCAATTTTTTTTAAAGAATTTGTTTGTTATTAAGCACAAAGTTACGTAATGGGTTATCTGTGCTATGTCTTCCACGGGTAGCGAAACCCTCTTGTTTCGGGCTTTCAGTCTTTGTAGAACTGGGAAGAACAAATACAATCTAGACCTCTTTCTCCTCTCCTGTACTGTGTTTGATATATACTGTAAAATGATATTAAGAAATTCAAGTAAACAGGGCTAAAAGATTCATTATTTAACACAGTTTATACTTCCCTTATCGGCCCCAATGTGCGTGAATGTGATACACGTGTTCGTGTTTCCGTTTTATTTAGTCAATGCATAAACACTTCACAAACAGTTCATTGATAACACAGGCCTGCGATGGTGTTATTGCCTTGAAATTTTTACATGTTCTAC